CCCAGATGCTTTCTGCAGAATATATGATTACATAATAGATCTGATCTGTAATTCATGACAACCTGGAAGAGTAAACTTCATTACCTTTTTAAAAATGCACTTTTGGTTATGCACAAGAACCAAAATAAGTTTAGGTGATTAAGAGATAAAGCCAGCACCCCAATTGCAGTTTGGAAAAAAAGTTTATGTAACACCCTGTTACCAACACAAAAACCAGATTTTCTCAATAAGAGGAAATGTGCGTGATGATTAGTGTTCTACTGTTCTCACAATATAAAAATGCAATAATATGGTTTTGAATACTGCTAATTTTCTGTCCAGAGAGTTGATGGAGGGAGAAACATTTTTGATCCGTGGTTTTAGATTTGGAAAATGCATGTGTTGTATCCATAAGATGGTTGTATATTATCTATATATCAAGAGCAATCTGTAGTGTCACATATTGTTAAGCCAACTAAATGTTTATGTGCAAATCATTGCTTCTGGTTAATTAAATGAACAGATTGTGTTTGCTAATTTATTTATGTTTAATTGCTGTGAGATTTTTCTCAGCAAAATAGGAAGAAACAAAGCTGCTATTTTCTATTTGTTCAAATAAACTGCAACATGAAATATATATGGGCAGGTCAAATTAAATTAGGATGATCATGCATAATCAAGTTCTTCATTTTTTGTAATTGAAACTTAATGAGTGATGGCCACCAAGTTTTACATTTTTCTTAGTAGCTTGAATTATATTTTATGCTGACAAAAAATGAATTATTCTGATTACTGTCTCATTTAGTCAATTTCTAAGCAGAAAAAGAGTCCATCGTGGTTTTGGAAATTTACTTAAACAAATCTGCATTATATTCAATGTTTTACCTGTTAAATATGCCCAAAATTTAGATTTTAGTTAATTCTGCTTTTAAAAAAAAACTTATAGGATTTTAAATTAGTTAATATAGTTAGCTCTTAAAGTGAAATGTAGGTTCCTGATAGATCACAGATACATAACCAGCCACCAAGCATTGCACATGGCACACTAGTCTCCTTCTGCTCCTTCCCTTGGCTATAATCAACAGCATAATTTCCAGATATTTTGCATTATGAAACATATAAAAAAGTATTCTGTGGGCCCCACAGAAAGGTAAAATTGCTTCCCCTGTATCCAGGAAAGGAACAGAAAATCTTAGCTCCACTCATGTATAAGATGCTGCCACCCTCACCAACCATCACCTATGTGTTGTTGTTGCAAAGTCACGTCCAAGCCATTGTGACCCCATGGACAATGTTCCTCCAGGCCTTCCTGTCCTCTACCATCCTCTGGAGTTTATTTAAACTCATGCCTACTGCTTCAGTGACTCCATCCAGCCACTTCATTCTCTGTTGTCCCATTCTTCTCCTCCAGTGAGTTCTTCCTTCTCATTAGGTGACCAAAGTATTTGAGTTTCATCTTCAGGATCTGGCCTTCTAAAGAGCAGTTCAGGGTTGATCTCCTCTAGGACTGACCCACCCCCCTTGCCCTTGTTCATTGCTTGCTGGCGTGCCCAGCATTTTTTGCTTAGTACAAAGTTTTCTTCTTAGTAACATTCTACCAACTATACATTTCAGCCCCTCACCTCTCTACATTACTTGTCTCGAAAATTAATTTAGCTCTGGTTATTTCTATTCTGCCTCCCAGAGAAGCCTAGAAATCAAATTATAACCTAATCCAATGCAAAATGCCTAGGTCTGAATTGCTTTCAAAGTTATTGCCTCAATATGTAAGGCCCAAGCAAAAAGCAGATATTAGGTATGGTAATTTTGAAATCTCCCCCTCCCTTTTCCTCCTTTCTTTCTGTAGCTTCTTGTGCAGTTATTTCTCAGCTATGTAACACAATTCAAGTACCCTCCTGCTGGTTGTCAGCCCCAGACAGCCAGATGGCCGGGGCCACTATTCAGGTNCTGAGCCGGTGAGATTTGAACCGCTGACCTGCTGATCTAGCAGTAGCCTGCAGTGCTGCATTTAACCACTGCGCCACCTTGGCTCTTAGGTTCATCAATGAACCTCAATTAGCACGGAGCCCATATGTCTTTTTAATATGTAATTTCAGTCAAGATATGCAATTAATTTGTTATATAATGTATTTTCACTCGCCAGCCTTTTTTTAAAAAAACTGTTCTCCCAAGTCATGTCCTTCAAATAAAGCAGTGAGGCATTAATGTGCTGCTTAGAGGGGAGGAGCGCTGTCCTGAAGAAACCTGGAAATGTTCTACTTTGCTACCTTTGATCCACTCAACAGCCAAGATGCTACCGGTAATGAAATGACTTTCAAATCCATAATTTGAGTTTTGCAGTATTTTCAGAGTTACATCAAAATATTTATAGGAGAGCAGTTTTCTTTTTCATTGCTTGTCCTCCCCTCCCCTGCATTTTCAAGTTGCTGTCTGGAAGGAGGGGACACAAAAGAAAGGCAAATGCATTCGACCCCTGCTACTTATTTGCATTCCTTTTTTACTTTCTCCAAATACACAAGTCGACTTAATATTAACCAGCGTACTGTAGTGGTTCAAGTGTTGAAGTAAGAGCAGAAAGATCTAATCCACCTTCAGTCACAGATGATCCATGGTGGTGCATTGGTTAGAATGCAGTATTGCACTATTGCAGACCAACTCTGCCAACTGCTAGCAGTTTGATCCTGACTGGCTCCAAGTAGACTCAGCCTTCCATCCTTCCAAGGTCAGCAGAATGAGGATCTGGATTGTGGGGGCAATATGCTTAGAGGGCTGTAAAGCTCTATGAAGGGATATATTGCTATATATTGCTAAGTGCTATTGCAGAAGATCGGGGGCAACCTTCTGCCCATCACATCCTCTCTGAGGCTTATAGGCTATATCAGTGTTGGCAAACCTTTTCAGCACCAAGTGCTGAAACACGAGCATGCACATGCTCCAACACTGGAAGTCTTTAAGAAGATGTTGGATAGCCATTGTCTGAAAGGTTTCCTGCCTAGGCAGGGAGTTGGACTAGAAGATGTCCAAAGTCCCTTCCAAATCTGCTATTGTATTATTGTAATACATGCACGCACGCATGGTAGCTTCAAACACTGGAAGAGCAGTTCCCCAGTATGCCTGCGTAGGAGTGCCAGAAACTGGAAGAGCAGTTTCCCAGCACACATGCACATGCCAGTAAGTTGAGTTTCCGGTTTCCAGCAAGTGCATGTGCACCGGTCATGCTGGTCTTCCGGTTTCTGGCATGCATGCGTGCGTGAAGAACAGCTGGGCAGCACGTGCATGCATGCCAGGGAGCTGTTCTTCCAGTTTCTGGCCCTCCTGTGCATGCGAAGGCCAGTTGGACAACCCAGAAGAGCAACAGGTGATGGCTGGCATGCCCAGAGAGATGGCTCTGCATGCCACCTCCAGCACATGTGCCATATGTTCACCATCCCGGGGCTGTATCAACCTATAGTGTCTACTCCAGGTAGAATTTGCCTATCTGAACTATGTCAGCCAAGACAGCAAACTGTGGAATCCTCCAACCCTGCCTGTGATAGTAGTGAAGGAGACCTAGAGACTCTTCTTGGTTGTAGTCCCTTTTCTCTGGAATAGCCTGTCTCCTGTGTTCAGAGGTGCCTATTGCCAATATTCAGAAAAGTGCTTCTCCGTGCAGCTTTTAAATAGTGAGATGTAAGCCAGCTAAAATTGTCAAATGAGATGGCATGCCTATAATTCTATGCATATATAAATGAATGAATGTATGAAAATAAAACACTGCTTTCTCTACACCACTTTCCTGATGGATTGGCCGATAAGAACTCACAGGCTGGGCCTTCTCCGGCTGCCATCGACCGGACAATGCCGGCTGGCGGCTCCTCAGAGGAGGGCCTTCTCTGTAGNCGCTGTTGTCGCCCTGTTGATGATGTCAGCGACGCGGTTTAGTTGGGTGCGGTTTTGTCGTTCGCCCTTTTGTCAATGAACCGTTATATCAGTGCCATCAGTATTGGAGAGAAATTAGTTACATAGCTGCAACTTATATAGTAGGTTAAGAAAAGCTGTACCAGTTGAAATACTGTCTTCTCAATAAGTAACCAAGGTCCACAATGTTCATGCTTCATTTGTTCTTGCAAATGCATCATTGATAATACTTCAATAGCAAAAACTCAGAGTAAGGCTTTGTTTGGCACGAGTCAAGAAATAAATGAGCAATTTAATTTTATTCTTCAATGCATTTGTCACGTCTACACAACTCTCTCATATAGCCACTCTGGGGCATAATATCATAAAACCGATACATAAGAACCGTTAAACACCTCTATTTCGATTGAAATTTTTAAAAAAACAACCTAAGATTTCAGGTAACCAGAACTGAGTGACTTGTGTTTCTAAAAGAAACCAAAAAAGGTAACAACTATACTTTTGATACGGCTACAAAGATATTGGAGAACACACAGCTTTCAGATGTCGGAATCAATTTCAAGGATAAGAAGAGCCCTCCCTTTGTAGCCCATCTTCTTTAAGAGAAAAAGGGGAAGCCAGGCGGTTGAAAACAACAACAACAACAACAACAACAAAGCTTTACAGCCCCAACTTTCTTCTCCATTCCCCCCAGTACTTTAGTTAGATGACTGGCAGGTTTAAAGAGCTTTCAGTCCAGAGTCACCCCACCACTCAGCTCTTATCTACTAGCTTTTATCTACCTGAAAATGTCTGGTTGCCTTGGTAATTCTTGTTGCTTAGTTACAAAAGCTGGAGATGGAGATGGCCCTCCCGTCTCCTGTGTTTCAGCAGAACTGGTTCCCCAGGCAATTGAAGGCAGTCAGGATTTTTATTTTTATTTTTTTGATGAAGGCACCTGAGACGGAAGTATGCCAATCTTATTTGTAAAACCAAATCTGTTCAAACCAAACAAACAGACGGTAAGATGGCCACCGTTCAGCTTGAAGCTTCCAATTACTGAAGTCTTCCCCCAACCTGGTGCCTTCAGGATGAGAGACATCCCAGAATTTCTACAGCGTACATTGAGAGAGAAAAAATCCCACTGCAGCAGATGCAGGCTGGATGTTTGTAGGAGTCCTCTTGAGTTTCATTTTCATTCATGACCAGGGTGTATCTCTTTTTTTGCGTGTGGTTGAAAACTGGCTATTGGAAAAGGAGATTGGGATGTTTAAAATGAATTAAAAATGGAAAGTCTTTCTCCAGAGAACATTCTGACTTGAGAACCAGTAAGCATTGTTAGGTAGTGTTCTGTCAACAAGTCTTCCTTTACTGGAATAAAGCAGAAATGGCAGAATTTCGAAAAGTTTTAGTTTGACATTTACTGCATTTCCAATCTATGTTTTCCTTCCTTTCTTTCTCCCTCCCTCCCTTCCCTTCCCTCCCTCCTTTCCTTCCTTCTTTCCTCTCTCTCTTCCTTCCTNAACCGGTGGGCGCTTAGAAAATTATACTACTAACAGAGATACAAAAGTGGGTGGTAGGTATAAAAAGGTTGACTACCCCTGGCCTAGAGGGTTAAAGAGCAAAATGGGTGCAGTATGTCTCAGAAATCGAAGCAACCATTTCATCCATAAAAAAATGAACAGCCCTAATTATCAGAGCTTGGCTTTGTTGTTTTCTCTTTTAGGGATTGCCAGGGGAAAAACAAATACATAAGGCCATGAATTTCTGCTTGAAACTCTGCCTCTGCTGTGTCATCACTGGTATATCCTTTCCTTCCCTTTAATAGTACACATTTTTTAAACAAAGTTGTGTACACTCCCCCCCCCCCCAGGGGCACTATCTGCTTAACTTGGAAGGTCAAAAATTAGCTGTCCCACACAGTGTGCTGTATATTGACCTAAATACCAATTCTTTTAAAATACCTCTATATAATTAGCCTTAAAGAACAGTTAAAAATTATGCACTAATAAAATATGTGCCTTAAACTTCACAGTTTACAGATTTAGGCACAACTCTGTGCTTATTTCATTGTGCTAAGTTGACATGACAATCTAAAAAATTCTTTTCTGTAAAACAAGTGAAGTTTTAAAAATGTTAACTATTTTTTTTCTTAATGTGTGTTTATATAAAGTTTTATTCTTGTACAGTGCAATTGTGCGTTGAGTGAAAATAAGTTTGATTGTGTTTTGTGGGACTTACTCCCAGGTAAGGATTGCAGCCTTATTACTAATTCAGTGGGCTTGTATAGATAACTCTTTTGCCATATTTACATATTTTAGAAGCCTTTGCCAACAAACCAGTTTTAAGTAATATTATTTCTTCCTATAAGCAAATGGCAAAACTATCAAAGATGCATTCATTTCTTTGTTGTTATGCACAGAACCACATGGAGCTTGTGGTTTTCCTGTGTATGAAGCTGTCATGTGTGAAGCCTTCTTTAATTAGTGGTTTGTAAATACTGTCACTGGAAGGACTGTTACATAATAAAATATATTTTTAAAGACATTTGATTTTAATAAGCTTGAAGCCTAGTCATAAGTAGGAAGTGCACATTTGTTTGTTTTTCTCCTTAATTTATTTTAGCAGTGACCTTCAACAAATTGTATTTATTTGTTAGCAAATGCCTTTATATGTATGTATAAGCTCTGTTTATCTAGGGGACTTTGTTTTTAGGAATAGAATTCTTGACTGTCAAAATGATATTTAAGGTTGGCATCCTCAGAAGTCTGAGATCAAGTTCCAGATTAGACTGAGGTGATCATGATGAAAGAATTTAGTACTTATAAACCAGTAGTAGCAAAACCATTACCAAAATTATTCATTTTCTTTGATATCTCCCTTGTCAATATGTAAATAAACTCTTCTGTTTTATTGTGCAAGTTGAATCTTGTAAATTATGTGCATTACATTGTGCTTTCTGTTGGATATTAACAAAAATGTACTTTTGCTTGGATGTTTCAATTTTAGCTATGCTTTGTGAAGTAAATGGTACTGTTTCTTTTGTAAAACAACAATTTAGTTATTACTAAATATTTAAATAAGACTGCATTAAGTAGATTACATTACAGCATAGTGACTTTCAAATGGAATAGTCAAATATCGTACACTTAATGAATCATGACAGAGACTTGCTAGCTGGTGTTCTTTAACTATAGTTTATCAGAAAAACATAATGTAACTAAGATTCAAAGAATTGTATACTAATCCCCATTTTTAGGTTAGTTTCTATTGCATAAATCTCCTGATTAGTATACAAGTAGTCCTCAATTCACAACTGTTGGTTTAGTGACTGTTTGAAGTTACGAAAACACTGAAAAATGTAACTTATGACTGGTCCTCACACTTTTGACTGTTGTAACCAGTGACGTGCAGTCAGAGGAGGCAGAGGAGGCAGGGCCTCACCACTGTCATGAAAAGAAAAACAAAATGAAAGGAAAAAGGCTGAGGTAGTTGCTGCCAGAATCACAGTGGATGACTCTGCTTAGTGCTTAACTGTTTAAAAAAGCC